GACTTTCTGGGGTTACATGATAAAGTCGAAATTCCATTCGGTGGTCAACGGGGTACCCTAACTGTATGTGGCGTAACATCCGCAAAACTGGAATCTCCATCCTTATTCACCAATCTTGCTCCAAATTACAAACCGATCGCCACAAAATCTCGTCGTCATACACCGGAAGATGAACAATTCATACAAACGGAAGTAGACCAAATGCTTACCGATGGCATAATCGAACCATCAAATTCTCCGTGGAGAGCACAAGTGCTCGTTACCCGCAATGCAAATCACAAGAGACGCATGGTGATAGACTACAGCCAGACAATCAATCGCTTCACCTACCTTGACGCTTATCCTTTACCAAGGCTCGACCAAATGATTGAAACCATCGCACGCTACACTGTCTACAGCACACTGGATCTCCAGAGTGCATATCATCAGGTTCCAATAATCGAGTCAGACAAGCCATTCACAGCGTTCGAAGCTGGGGGGAACCTATACCAGTTTCGGCGCATTCCTTTTGGAGTGACAAACGGGGTCGCGTGTTTTCAGCGAACGCTGAACAATATAATCAAAGCCGAACAGGTAAAAGACACATTCGCTTATATCGATAACGTCACTATATGCGGCAAAACGAGAGATGAACATGACCGTAATCTTAGGCATTTTCTCGATGTCGCAAAAACATACAATATTACTTTGAACGATACGAAAAGCAGCTTCGCAACTGAAGAGATTACTCTCTTAGGTTACAAGGTCTCCAAAGGTATTATAAGACCTGACCCAGAACGCATGCGCCCCATAAGAGAACTCCCACTTCCAGAGAACGGGAAATCGCAGCAAAGAGCCGTTGGTTTGTTTGCCTACTATTCACAGTGGATACCGGCGTTCTCTGACAAAATTCATCCATTGGTTAAAAACAAAATATTTCCGCTCCCGGAGAATGCCCGAACAGCATTTGAGAACCTTAAACACGAACTAGAAAATGCGATGGTAGTTACTGTCGACTACAATATTCCTCTCGTTGTTGAAACTGATGCGTCCGACATCGCTATTGGTGCATCCCTGAGCCAGGGTAGCCGGCCGGTCGCCTTTTTCTCCAGAACCTTGACTGCAAGCGAGAAAAATCATTCTGCTGTTGAAAAAGAAGCATATGCTATAGTTGAAGCGATCCGCAAATGGCGCCACTATCTCCTCGGGAGACATTTTAAATTGATTACGGATCAACGTTCGGTAGCCTTTATGTATGGGAACCAACAGAAAAGTAAAATAAAGAACGACAAGATTGAACGGTGGAAAATCGAGTTGGCAGGGTACAACTACGACGTCGTCTATAGACCTGGAACAGATAACCGCGTTGCTGATACCCTATCTCGTAACCTTTGTGCCAACATTACTGGGACGGAAAAACTTGAAGAGCTTCACAACATATTATGCCATCCCGGGGTCACGAGATTTGCACATTTTGTTCGTTCTAAGAATCTTCCTTTTTCAGTCAGCGATATCCGACGTGTGGTGTCCAACTGTTCCACTTGCTCCGAGCTCAAACCAAAATTTTGTGACACCTTTCGTGGCCAGCTTATCAAAGCCACACAACCGTTCGAACGCCTTAGTATCGACTTTAAAGGCCCACTTCCCTCAAACACTCGTAATAAGTACCTCTTAACAATCGTTGACGAGTATTCTCGATTCCCTTTTGCTTATCCCTGCGCCGATACGTCCTCTTCCACTGTAATTCGTTGTTTGAGTCAACTGTTTTCACTGTTTGGTATGCCTGCTTATATTCACTCAGATCGCGGTTCTGCATTCATATCAACTGAACTCAAACAATTTTTGTTCGATAAAGGCGTTGCCAGTAGTCACACCGCTGCATATAATCCACAATGTAATGGTCAGGTTGAACGACTTAATGGTACCCTTTGGAAGACCATCTGCCTGGCTCTAAAATCGCGCGGCTTGCCTGTCACACATTGGGAGGCTGTCCTCCTTGATGCTCTTCACTGTATCAGATCCCTGTTATGTACTAGTATCAACTGTACCCCACACGAACGTTTTATGCCGTTCACACGACGATCAGCCAACGGTGCCTCCCTACCTACCTGGCTTACTGTCCCTGGGCCAATCCTTTTAAAACGCAATGATCGAGTCTCTAAATATGACCCTCTGGTAGAGGAAGTGGAACTCGTCTCTTGTAATCCACAGTACGCCCACATAGTTCGTCCAGATGGCAAACACGAAACCGTATCCTTGCGCCGCTTGGCTCCCAAAGGCAACGACATGACATCCGACACAGAACAGGAACCAATACATATCGCCGAACAAGGGGAGCCTCACACAACACCAACAATCCACCGTGGTTGCTCAGAAACTGAACTCTTGCCTATTAACGATGCCTCGCCATCCCATTCTAGTGCAGATCCAGGAAATCACTTGGACATTCTTATCCGACAACAGCGCACTCACCCATATAATCTACGCAACAGAGAGGCGTAAACGACTCCATGTAACTATTACAGCCTTTTATTTTTTTACATTCTTTCTCCGCAAAGTACACACTTATTCCAAGGCGGGGAGAATGTCATGACTATATAACCCATACCTTTGCATAACCCATTAACTCATGATTCTCACTCTATTTTCAGCTCATGTACTACAGTTATTAGACGATCAAAGCGTACATTACGTCTTCCTATTCGGTCTCCTTTCTAATCCCGTCATGGAACTACACGACTCTCGCAACAACTACGGTTGCGTGTAATACAAGCTTGACTGGTCTTTGGGCGAGATGACCCAAGTGGTTAGAGCGCGAATTTACTGACCGGAAGATCCGCGGCTCGAACGCGACCTCTGTCTCTCGACTTCTCCCGTATAGGCCTTGGGGAACACTCTAGAACCCCACCCCCCGGGCGTGGCATGGCAGTTAGGCTACAGCTGGACTATTTCTTCGGCATTCACAGTAGAATATTAAACAGCAGGCGGAGGACGCCCCGATAACACACCATGCCGAATTGCCACTCAGCTTAGCGATCGTCAAACACCCAACATCAGTCAGTCTAGGTTAGTGCCACCAGCTATGCACACTTAGTGCCCGCAGCCGGTCATCATCATCATCATCAAAGACGGCAACATCAGCGTTGGCACTGAAGAGAACAGTGGGTGAGGGAAGGGACCTGGTGCTGGCCTATGTCAAGCATTCTGAGGTGACTGCGGCGTTCAGCTGTAGCACCCCTTTCGGTGCCCAGCTGCCATGCCACCCGAAGGAAGCACGAGGGCTGGGATACTGCCAGGTTACCCAAGCCTTGGCAGGGAAAGTCAAGTGGCGGAGGTCGGATTCGGACCGCGGACGTTCCGGTCTCGCTCTAACCACTTGGGCCATCTCGCCTCCCCTGAGGTGCCTACACCTCCAACCGCTCAATCAGACAATCTGGAAAGAAACTGACAGCACGAACGCCACTGACATCGATTAGCCGCCATTTCTTGCAACGTTCACAGCCAACGTCACGGGGACATATCCTAAAAGGTGTACAACAGAAAAACCCAAATTCTTCGTGATCTCTTTCACGCCTTTCTGCCGAGTCATGTGCTGTCCACCTCGCGGTTTGCGCCACCCTGAAGGAGGTGCGGGGAACAACACTCGTCTCGGTAGACGGTGTTTCGGCATGCGTAGCACATGACCGAGCCATCGTAGTCGATTTCTCGGATTGAGGTGCCTGCAGAACAAATACCCGTTTTCTAATCACCTCGTTACTGACACGCTGACGCCATCCGAAACCAACCACGCTACTGAGACATCGGTGGTCGAAAACCTGAAGACGCCTCACATCTACCCGAAGAGGCCATGCCTCGCATCCATACAACACAACCCTTACTGCAGCCCGGTACATACGACCCTTAAGATCCAGTGGTATGCCTTTTTGACGCCACAATTGACGAAAAATTGCAAACGTGACTCAAGCCTTTGAGATTCTTGCACTGACTTCATCAGAAACATTTCTGTCAGAGCTAATACAACTACCGAGGTATGTAAGGTTTTTCACAACCTCCAATGATTCTCCTTGAGTTGTACGAGATATGTTCGTAGACAGCACGTTCGGAAGCATCACTGTGCACTTTGAAGGTGCGAGGCGCACGCCAAAAGATGGAATGTTGGTGATCAGTTTATTCAACAGGGTTTGCGCTTCGCTTTGGTCTTCAAAGATGAGGGCGATGTCATCTGCGTACTCCATAAGGCTCTCACCAGCAACAAGCTGAACACTAGGGTTTCATTATTTCATCAAAGACGAAGTTGAACAAGAATGGAGACATCTTTGTCTGACATTTGGAGAGCTCACCATACACCCCCACACACCCAGAGGTATGTGAATATAGAGATCGGATTATGTTTACAAACCTCTGGGGCATACTTTGTTGAGCAAGTGTAGTTAACAGTACTGATCGATCAACAGAATCAAACGCACCCTTGAAGTCAAGGAATACCAGGATTGTGGGTCGTCTGTACATGTGGCGTTGCTCTAACCCCTGCCGGATTGTGAAGATGTGGTCAACGCAGCCTCTACCCGGTCGAAATCCTGCTTGAACCCATAAGTCAAGGTTTCGCATGCCGCCGTAAGAGGACGGATAATCAGCGACGCCGGAAGCAGTCACAACAGGCGTCAAGCTAACACCCCTGTGGTCACTACATGCACTGCGAGTACCCTTTTTGGGAGAACGGGCACCACCAATGATCCACCACAGTTGTCTGGGGCGGCTCCCTTCTCCCAGATAGACATAAATAGGTTAGACAGACGCCAGCTGGGGGACCCACCGCCATCCTTGAAAAGAGCAGGTGGAAGGTCGTCAGGACCAGAAGCACGACGACGCATGAGTAGAAAAGTACATTCGGACACTTCCGAGACTGAAGGTGGCTCCATGCCCGCGGTCCATCTTTCTATTTAAGGTCGGGTTTCTAGCCGGTCGTCTATGCCACTCGCCTCGGGTTGCACGAGAACACGGTACGGGATTTATTGGATTACATGACACGAAAGGCCCGTCAAAATCCCACAAAGCCCGTGAGCGGAAACAGTACCGCCCAAGGTCCGTTGCTCCGCCTTTCACATACCAAAACTGACGCTAGAAGCCGCCAGGACAGCCCGTTAAACTTACAGCTATTGACGCGTCCCCAACCAGAAAAACTGCAGTTAGTTGCGACCGCGGTTGAGAGTAGGCCGCCAACTACTAAGCCACCCAGTATGCCGAAAGCTAAGCGCCACTACAGGGTGCCCGCCCATACTGCATTGCTGTCGCTGAACCTCAATAGCAGTCACATACGACACCTGAAGGACTTTCCTCCGTACCAACTGGGACGATTAGCGGACGGGTTAGAGCGACGCGGGAAACGCCTAAACTGGAGATCTAGCTATTGAACTGCCCACCCACCGACACACCAAAACCGTGGAGAAGGCACAAAACACGGGGTTTAAATGCAATGGGGTATATAATGGAACAGTAAAAATGTACAACTCAATCGACTTCTTCCATTCCAGCATCGTCCCCAGCTTCTGCGGGTGCGGCAGCCGTCGTATCCACGGCTTCCACCTTTGGTTCGTCTTCTGCGGGGATGTCGAGGCACATACTGACAAGCTGATGAATTCTGCCGGCGTGAACTTTTGGATCTTCCAAAGAGAATCCTGATGACAAGAGTGCTGTGCTGTGTAGAAGGAAAACAAGGTCCTTTGCTAGTTTGTTCGACTCGCCACTCTCGAACAGAGCCTTAAGCGACTGAATGATTTTGTGGTGCGGGTTGATCTCCAAGTGTTTCTTTGCAGCCATATAACCCATGGTACTGGAGTCTCGAAGGGCCTGTGCTTTCATTATTCGCTCCATGTTGGCAGACCAACCGAACTCGGATGTGACGATACAGCACGGAGAGGTTGTTAGGCGACTTGAAACCACGACCTTCTCCACCCGTTTGCCAAGAATATCCTGGATCTGTTTGCACAAAGGTTCGTAGGCAGCCTTCAGTTCCTCAAATTTCTTTTTCTCTTCGTCATCTTCAGGAAGCTGTAAGCCTTCTTTTGTGACGCAGACCAATTTCTTTCCGTCGTACTCCCTAAGCTGGGTGACGGCGTACTCATCTATTGGATCAAGCATGTACAGTACCTCGAAACCACGCTTCCGCAAAACCTCAGTGAACGCAGAGTTGGAAACAGCTTCCTTAGTCTCACCGGTGATATAGTATATGTCCTTCTGGTTTTCTTTCATTCGGGAAACATACTCCTTTAGACTAGTCATCTCATCTGAGCAGGTTGTCGAGTAATAACGCAGGAGATCAGCTAGCTTCTTCCGATTGACACCATCCTCATGGATACCGAGTTTGATATTCTTCGAGAACTGCTCATAGAATTTCTTGTAGTTTTCCTTGTCCTCCATGATTTCATCGAACAGCTCCAGACACTTCTTTACCAGGTTTTTTCGGATCACTTTCAGAATCTTGTTCTGTTGGAGCATCTCGCGACTGATATTCAGAGGCAAATCCTCGCTGTCGACCACACCTTTGACGAAATTCAGGTATTCTGGAATCAGCTCTTCGCAGTTATCCATGATGAACACGCGACGAACATACAGTTTTATATTATTCCTTTTCTTCCTGTTTTCGAAAAGGTCAAAAGGAGCACGCTTGGGAACGAACAAGAGGGCACGGAACTCTAACTGACCTTCAACTGAGAAGTGCTTCACCGCCAAGTGATCTTCCCAGTCGTTGCTAAGCTGCTTGTAGAATTCACCATATTCCTCTTGAGTGATATCGTCCGGGTTCCGCGTCCACAAGGGCTTGGTTTTGTTCAGCTCCTCCTCGTCTATGTACTTCTCGGTTACTTTCTTCTTTTTCTTCTTGTCTTTACCTTCCTCTTCTTCTTCATCTTCATCGAGGTCTTCGACCTTCGGTTTGTCCTCTTCCTTCTCTTCTTCTTTCATCTCTTTCTCCTCCTCGTCATCGGAAACTTCTTTTGTTCGCTCTTTTTGGACGTAAAGCTTGATCGGGTAACCGATGAACTGCGAGTGTTTCTTTACGATGTCTTTTATTCGCCGTTCCTCTAGGTACTCTGTTTGATCTTCCTTGAAGTGCAAAATTACTTTTGTGCCACGTCCAATATCTTCTCCGGTGTCCAAGCGAATAGTGAAGGAGCCACCAGCCGACGACTCCCACATGTATTGTTCGTCATCGTTGTTCTTTGAGACAACCTGGACACGGTCAGCTACCAGGTACGCGGAGTAGAAACCAACGCCAAACTGGCCGATCATCGAAATGTCAGCTCCTGCCTGCAACGCCTCCATGAATGCCTTAGTTCCCGAGCGCGCGATTGTACCAAGGTTATTGATGAGGTCCGCTTTCGTCATTCCGATCCCCGTATCAATTACTGTGAGCGTACTGTTGGCCTTGTCAGGAATCAATTTGATGCACAATTCCTTCCCAGTATCCAAAACAGATGGGTCGGTGAGACTCTTGTAGCGAATCTTGTCAAGGGCATCGCTTGCATTTGAAATCAATTCACGGAGGAAAATCTCTTTATTCGAGTAGAAAGTGTTGATAATCAAGCTCATCAACTGAGCAATCTCAGCCTGGAAGGCAAAAGTCTCTCCCTCCGACTCCGTAGCCATGGGTTCACCGGACATCTTTCAGCAGCACGACGATCGAAAAGCACCGTATGCGGGCGGCGACCACTTATAAAGCGTTCGTAGATGATTCTCGAAGGTCATGATTGGCTGCCAAAAATAGTATCCAATCCACCAATCACTGACGTCGGAATTAACCAGACCGTTCCAGTGCACACTCTCTAGGTCCATTGGCAGAAGTTTGAGCCAATAAACAAGCAATGCGCTTGAGATGGCCTTCAATTTCGACTGTTCAATTAGTCGTGCCTATGCGGTTGCTCCCCGGTGGCATTCCTCTCTTAAGGTCGTTTGTCGCCGCACGGCTTGGTGCATCCTGGTTGCGCTTTTGCTTTCGCGTCCACATAGGTAGGTTTGTCGACGAGGGCTGATTTAGTATCGATTTGTAGTATCACTTGTCAGTGTGTCTTAAATGTCCAACTTAGGTCATTTTCTCAGAATTTTTTTGTTCAGTGGTTCAGATCGGTGTCAACACATAGTGTTCCATATTCTCACCCCAATAATTACGAAAATGGAAGTGGTAAAACTAACTACCTTCTATCGACCAGGTCCCATGGTTTGACGAATTGCTTATCAAATTATTTTCAACATTATTTGGCTCGAACAACCACGCCCTCACCAACAACAGGAATTGCACTGTTTTCGGACGATTTGAAGGGATTTAACCAGTGGGCTTCCTCTAGATGCCAAAACTGGGCTGATGCTATTACCACAGCCTCGTGAACAACAACTATTGTTAGTTCGTCCCATGCAAATTGGACCTGCACTATGAATACCTCATTTTCGATTGTATAGTCACTGAATGGTGCTTTAGGTATCACTGATTTGTGTCAACAACACTCCCATCACATCCACGTGGAAACCGTAAGTCGCCGGGGATTATATCTAAAAAAGCTATGCACCTGACGCAAAGAGCGACGGGAACAAACACTTAAAAACGTTATTGCAGTGCATATAAACCAAATTGAGGTTCTATTTATTATTGAAATCCTACGGACCCTTTCATGAACTTCTTATAGGTCACAAAGATGAATCGAAAACTTGTTGTAATAGTGATATGGCCAAAAGTGGCCGACATCGATGGTCTGCGGTGAGCTGTCCGAGTTCACCACATCAATTTTTGTCACGCAGGGCTGTCCTCTTTCATCTTTCATTATTTTCGGCACGATTATGGAAGACCAACTATCAGTCTTTAATGCCTGTGGGGTTTAGGTGATCCCGGGGCGTCCGCTCGCAGATAAAGAGTATGCGGACGACGTCGTCTGAATACATAGCTCTCGTGTCTGATGCCGTCGTGACGGTATCTTGCCAGGCGGTTTGGCATGCGCTTCACATCTTCAAAGTGCTACCGCAAGACTAAGTGGAGTCGAACCCTAAATCCATGTTTGCGGATGAGCCGGTTGAGAGTGAGCATTTTTTTTACCTGGACAGCTGTGTCAGTCCCGGTGGTCTTGAGGAAGATATTTCCATTCGACTTGGAGGCCAAAACAGCTTTCGTGAACACGCAAAGGAGTGATATCAGTTTGTCCGTCAGTGGTCGTGTTTACAATACTGCGATGTGCGTCATATTATTAAACGAATCAGAAACCTGTCTGCTGCGCTCCGAGGCCGTCAAAATACTGTCAGTGTTTGACTCTCGATGTGTACGGAACACGGCCCGAATCTGCGAAGAAACTACATCCGGTAAGCTCAAGCTTACCGTGGTGTGTACCTTCTTTACGCATTGAGCTCTGGTCTGGGCGTCTGGGGGACTCGCAGTGTCGTACCAGGTTGGTCAATGGTTGGATGTCTAACGAGTACAGTCTCCTGGTCTTCCAGGTCGGGGTCGCAACATGTGTGGCGATCTAGCACTAACTCCATTCACTCTCCATCTTTATTCTTTTCTTCAAGTAGATCATGGTTGTACGGCAGCGAAACATCAGTGTTGAGCACTGATGTGCTCTTCATGATGACGGTAGTGACTGGTGGGAACACCAGATCGATCAGTAGTATTGTACTTCGAATGATTTTCCGAAGATATAACGCACTCACGACGGATGAACTGATCACTCCCTAGATTGCGCTTGCTTGTCCGCGCTCTTCGTATGCCAGTAGACCGACTTCCTCGAAAGGTTGTTTTCGCCCAACCACGTGAAGTGCAGAAACGAGTCAGGGGAGATGAGGCAATGATTGGCAGCGAAATACGAAAAAAAAAGTCAGCCGTAGCACCCTTCGGTGCCTGGCTGCCATGCCACCCGAAGTTTGCATGAGGGCTGGGATGCTACCAGGTCGCCCAAGCCTAGACAGGGTTAGTGGAGAGGCAGATTTTAGGTTCGAACCACGAACCTTCCGGTCAGTAAATTCGCGCTCTAACCACTGGCCATCTCGCCCCCGATGCGGTGGCCATCAAACTCAGTTGCTGTGATCATTGCCGTCTCCCTATGTGGGGCCCCGAGACGGGATATATCAATGATCAGAGACATCTCTAGATATCCCTGTCGTGTCCCCCATGGCACTCGTGTATCCAATCTCTTGCCTTCAAGGCCAACTCCCCTTTCAATTTCCCCAACCGAGAGTCCACTGACAACACTATTTACGCATCAATTATGTCGGATACCGCCCTCAATGCGCAACTATTTACCCCATCTCCCACGACAAGTACGTGGTCCTTACGGCTGCTGCTGGTGGTGCTAACTAAATGATCATACCGTTGCCTCCAATGCCCAGCTGTGTTTGGTGACAGGAATCGTAGCATCTTGAACCAACGTACGGGGCGAGATGGTCCATTCGACTTGGAGGCCAAAACAGCTTTCGTGAACACGCAAAGGAGTGATATCAGTTTGTCCGTCAGTGGTCGTGTTTACAATACTGCGATGTGCGTCATATTATTAAACGAATCAGAAACCTGTCTGCTGCGCTCCGAGGCCGTCAAAATACTGTCAGTGTTTGACTCTCGATGTGTACGGAACACGGCCCGAATCTGCGAAGAAACTACATCCGGTAAGCTCAAGCTTACCGTGGTGTGTACCTTCTTTACGCATTGAGCTCTGGTCTGGGCGTCTGGGGGACTCGCAGTGTCGTACCAGGTTGGTCAATGGTTGGATGTCTAACGAGTACAGTCTCCTGGTCTTCCAGGTCGGGGTCGCAACATGTGTGGCGATCTAGCACTAACTCCATTCACTCTCCATCTTTATTCTTTTCTTCAAGTAGATCATGGTTGTACGGCAGCGAAACATCAGTGTTGAGCACTGATGTGCTCTTCATGATGACGGTAGTGACTGGTGGGAACACCAGATCGATCAGTAGTATTGTACTTCGAATGATTTTCCGAAGATATAACGCACTCACGACGGATGAACTGATCACTCCCTAGATTGCGCTTGCTTGTCCGCGCTCTTCGTATGCCAGTAGACCGACTTCCTCGAAAGGTTGTTTTCGCCCAACCACGTGAAGTGCAGAAACGAGTCAGGGGAGATGAGGCAATGATTGGCAGCGAAATACGAAAAAAAAGCCAGCCGTAGCACCCTTCGGTGCCTGGCTGCCATGCCACCCGAAGTTTGCATGAGGGCTGGGATGCTACCAGGTCGCCCAAGCCTAGACAGGGTTAGTGGAGAGGCAGATTTTAGGTTCGAACCACGAACCTTCCGGTCAGTAAATTCGCGCTCTAACCACTGGCCATCTCGCCCCCGATGCGGTGGCCATCAAACTCAGTTGCTGTGATCATTGCCGTCTCCCTATGTGGGGCCCCGAGACGGGATATATCAATGATCAGAGACATCTCTAGATATCCCTGTCGTGTCCCCCATGGCACTCGTGTATCCAATCTCTTGCCTTCAAGGCCAACTCCCCTTTCAATTTCCCCAACCGAGAGTCCACTGACAACACTATTTACGCATCAATTATGTCGGATACCGCCCTCAATGCGCAACTATTTACCCCATCTCCCACGACAAGTACGTGGTCCTTACGGCTGCTGCTGGTGGTGCTAACTAAATGATCATACCGTTGCCTCCAATGCCCAGCTGTGTTTGGTGACAGGAATCGTAGCATCTTGAACCAACGTACGGGGCGAGATGGCTCAAGTGGTTAGAGCGCGAATTTACTGACCGGAAGGTCCGTGGTTCGAACCCGACCTCCACCACTCGACTTCCCCTGTCTAGGCTTGGGCAACCTGACAGTATCCCAGCCCTCGTGCTTCCTTCGGGGTTCCTGTCTTCAAAATAGATGTTATATCTGAATATCAGCCAATTATCAGAGTGCCCGTTTGATCATGATCGCTTCCAAGTTGCCCACAGATATGATCCCACGCAGGAATACCAGCACCTTTGTGAGGAGAGCCGTGAAAACCAAGCAGAGTTCCGTTCGGGTCGTGGCTGCATTTACCATATCTCTACCTCACGACAACTGCTGGAGCATCGTCACACAGAAAAACAATAATTGTTGTTCTCATGTCTGAACGTAATGTCCGGCTCGGTCGCGCTGCTTTGTGGGGATGTCTATCTTTCAATGGTGTGCCACGCATTTTCTTCACAGTCCTCCAACCATCATACTATATACCTGCGGGCGCGTTAAGGTCTGCTGGGAATACTCTCCCAACATGACCAAAAGTGGTGCCCTTCAGGCTTACTGTTTGTCACCTTTTCTCCATAACCTAATAGTGGATTAATTAAGTGAGAAACTTTTGTTGTCTTTCACCCTAATTTTGGACCTTCTTTCCTGGGAAGCCCTTAAATTCATTGAATATTTGGCCAATGTTGCGCTACTTCTTTCAGTTTCCATTCAGATAAGAAACACACCAAATAACCTAAGTGATGTTACCATGCGTTTCGAATTGCGTCTCTCACCCTCAAAGTACGAAGTGCTATTATACGACTGGGCGAGCGCGCCACTAAAACAGGCTATGGTGTCAGAACCAAGTTACTGTCTGATTTCGTTTCCCCATCCTGCTGCATTCGGGGATTAAGGCGACCCGGTCGATGGCATGATTTCTTCTTCCAGGATGGGGACCGCGTGATCCTCGCTGT